ATACAGCCATTCTGGTCTGTATATTATAATTTTATAATTATACTTATAATCTGTATATTATAATATTATAATATTATCAAGGATAGTTTATTTCTTGTCAATTTTTTACGCTATTTATTTTGTTTGAAAAATGCATTTTTTATTTTCTTTTATTATTGTGTATTTTATTATTTTAACAGACATATATCAACTTGTATTAACTGCTGTGCTATTTAACATGATAACCTAGGCGCCACCCAGTATAAAAATATGTACTTTATTATAAAAAAGTTTCATTAAAACCAGGAAACGAGATATTTGCAAAAAACCGAGTTATGTTATTTTTTTATAGAATAGGGGGCAAACGAGCATGCGGCTCACCTGATGGTAAGTGACTACAGCCGCCCATGAACAACCGCAACACCAGGGGAATTGCAGATGCGTTGCCGGCTTTTTAGAAAGGTGTAAGCTCTTTTCTTGAATGTTCCTAAGTCGTATCGGTTCGGAAAATTCGCTAGTGGTAATTGATTCCACAAAGAAGTTGTGCGAGGGAGAAAGCTTCTTCTAAATCGCACAGTGGTGGACCGCCAATCATCCAGATGGTATGGATGGTAACGCGAGTTTTGTCGCGACATGCGATGGTGAAATTGAGCGGCTGGAATTAATCCGAACAATTCCTCAGAGCACTCCCCGTGATAGATGCGATAAAATACGCAAAGAGATGCAACATCTCTACGCAGTGCCAGTGTATCGAGCCGATCGGAAAGAACTCGGTCGTCGACGATTCGAATTGCTCTGCGCTGGATGCGGTCAAGTGGAAGGAGCTGGCACTGGGGTGCCCCGGCCCAGAGATGAGAACAGTATTCCACGTGGGGCCGAACTTGCGCTTTCTAAAGTTGCAAGCGATGTGCCGGCATGAAATACTGTCTCGCTCTGCTGAGCACGCCAAGCTTTTTAGACTCCAATTTGGCCTTCCCCTCCAAGTGACCACGAAACTGCACGCTATTCGATATGTCGACGCCAAGGATTCCGATACTGGCTGAGGCAGCAAGGGGTGTGCCTTGAAACTGAGGAGATACGACAAAGGGGTTCTTTTTAGCGGTAAACGCGCAAACTTGTGTCTTCTGGGGATTGAACTGGACTAGATTTAGTCGGCCCCAATCCGAGACTTTGTTAAGCAAAGACTCGACTTCAGACACAAGTTTGTCCCGGTACTCGGCGACGTTTTCCCGAGAAATATTGGCACGGCCGGTATATAAGGCATCCCCAGTGCTGTCGTCTGCATAGCAATGAATGCTACCAGTTAGCAACATATCATTGATATGCAGGAGAAACAGCGTTGGTGATAGCACGCAGCCTTGTGGAACACCAGCGTTGATAGGCTTGAAATCAGAGCATGCACCGTCTACTACGACCTTGATGCTCCGATCAGCAAGGAAACTGGTGATCCATTTGCACAATTTCTCGGGAAGCCCATAGGAAGGAAGCTTCGAAAGAAGCGCCTTGTGCCAGACCCGATCGAAGGCCTTCGCTATGTCCAAACTAACGGCCAATGCCTCCCCCTTGGACTTTACTGCCTCCGTCCATCTATGAGTTAAGTAAACTAGAATATCACCTGCTGATCGACCCCGACGAAAACCGTACTGACGGTCACTGATCAGCTGGTGATCCTCAAGGTACCTCATGAGCTGACAGTTTGTAATGGATTCCATTATTTTGGAGAACAAGGAGGTGATGGCGATAGGCCTGTAGTTGGACGGGTCTGAGCGGTCGCCTTTTTTAGGGATCGGGTGGACCAAAGCTGTCTTCCGTGAATTCGGGACTACGCCTTGGGAGTAGGAGTACCGGTAAAGACGCGTTAAAACCGGTGCCAACTCCGGAGCACACGTCTTCAGCACAATGGGAGGGACTCCATCGGGCCCACTAGACTTGCTGACGTCCAGGGAGAAGAGTGCTTTGCGAACCGAGCGCTGTGTAAATCGCACATCCGGCATGGAGCACTCACATCGCGCGATGGTCGGCGGTGTGTTCCCCCCGTCATCTAGAGTCGAGTTAGACGCAAAAAGAGAGCACCACAGATCGGCTTTCTCTTTTGCGGCTTGGGCCAGTGAGTCGTCCTCTCTGTGCAGAGATGGAAGGGATGGCTGACAGAAGTTCCCTTGGACAGCCTTGGCGAGAGACCAGAATGCACGGGTTCCCGAAGGAAGGTGAACTAGCTTCTCGCCAATTCTGCCGATGTACTCAGACCTTGCCTTGGCAATGACGCTTTTGAAGGACCTGGAGGCGGAATTATACTTCTTTTTAAGTGCGCTGGTGTTTAAATCCCGAGACGTTGATGCGTCAGCCCAGGCCCGGTAGCACTCCTGCTTATAGCGTGATGCTATTTTACAGGAACGACCAAACCATGGCTGGGATCTGCCTCCGATGGGCACGACAGAGGATGGAATAAAAAGTTCCATACCCTGAAGTACCACATCAGCAACAGAATCGGCAACAACGCTGGGATCTTCAGGCGAGAAGCAAGCCCGTCCCCAAGGGTAGGATGCAAAAAAAGACCGCATCCCGTCCCAATCAGCTGACCTATAGTGCCAAACACGGCGGCAAGCTGCAGATCGCAATTGCGATTGGAGCGTGAGTGGCACCGTACTCCGGATCAGACAATGGTCCGAAGAGCCCAGAGGGGCATCGACGGAGACCTGACATCCGTCCGGATGAGAGGTCAGCAGAAGGTCCAACAGGGAAGGTACCTGGTCTTCCACATCTGGGATCCGCGTAGGCGAAGTAACCAGTTGTGTTAGACCATATGCCAAAGCAAAGTCGTAGACAGATCTACCCGCATGATCGGTTAAACGAGAACCAAGCCATTCAGCGTGGTGGGCGTTGAAATCACCGAGTATCACGATCTGTGCGGATGGGACCTGTTGTAGCACGGGGTCTGCAGCCATTTGGACGTGGTCGATGAGTCGGTCTGTGTCGTCATTACCGCTATGGGACCTATAGAGGTACCCGTAGACGCTGGGATGGTCGTCGCTGTCTACGCGCAGCCATAGGATGGACAGGTCCGTACCTTCAAGGCTGCCGAGGCGTCGAAAACAGATGTCCTCTCTGACGTATACACAAACTCCAGCCCGGGCACAAAGGAGTGTTCCAATTTGTACCCCGGGTAGGAGAGATATGAAGTATCAGCCGGAGAGGACACCTAAGTCTCGGTTAAAAAGAGCAAGGCCAGCTTTGCCGTCTCTAGATGGTAATGGACAGCGTTAAGGTTGGAATGAAGTCCCCTGATGTTGCAAAAATTCACGGATAGCGTGACAGTTGTCGCCTTGGTTGTATTGCGCCGCTTGCCCCGAGCAGCATTAGTCGCGAGCGGAATTTTGCCCCCCCCCCCCCCCCCCCCAGAATACGCGGGGCAGCCTGAGCACCCACGCTCAGGAGTGAAGTAGTTTGGTCGTGGATGCTCAGCGAGGGATTCTCCAGGGGTGCTGGTACCCTCCTGGGGTAGTCTTTTATTTATTTCCACTACCATGTTCATGGGGGGGGGGGGGGGGAAATTGGGCCTCCGGCCACCTGCAGTCACCAAGCGCAACGCAGAGGTGAACCTCTACTTCACGCTGGTATTCTGTGAGGTCGTGGTACCACCCCGTTTCGAGCTGGCCCATCCGTGCGACAGCAAAAGCTACCGCTTGGCTCTACCACTGATAAATGTGACCTTTGACTTAAAATATCTTAAGACGCGCACACGAGATTTTATGGGGCTTTTGGGACAACATGTAGAATGCCAAAATAAATATTTATAGAAGTTTACAGCTTATTATCTCTCATTCCGAGGTTGACATCGTTTTTGGCTTAAATGTCTGGGCTATTACCAAGTCCCATTAATATTTAAACTTTCAATAAAAGGTATCACCGACTTCAAAAATTAACAAGTGGTAAAATTAAAAATTTTGTACAACCGACTTCAATATAAATAAAATGAGAACATCAACAATGTGCGCGGAGTCAATTAAATATGTATTATTAAGAATAACTCAAAAATTACTGGTCAGATCTTGGTCAAATTCATACGGGGACCACATCAGGAGCACCAGCTTTCAAATAAAAAAAAGAATCATCAAAGTTGGTTCACTTAGAAAAAGCTCTAAAGCTCTGAGTCGGATTGAGAACCACCTCCTTTTCTTTTGAAGTTGGTTGAAAATCATCACCATTCGTGTCAGAAGTCGTAAGAGACGAAGGGAAATGCAATTTCATGGCCTGCGATAACTGGTGGTGTAATATCTTACTCAAACCAGAACTTTAGTAACTATACAAATAAATAAAATTATTGAAGTGACTGTTTATAATGCCAAAATAACTGCTTTTTACTAAATGCATATGAAAGTATTTACGGTACTTATATCAAAAACACTATTTTTAGAATTTTGTATTTACGGTACTTATGTTAAAAAAAAACAATTTTTAAATTTTTGTCTGTCTGTTGTTCCGGCTAATCTCCGAAACGGCTGGGCTGATTTTGACGCGATTTTGACTGGCAGATAGCTGATGTTATAAGGAGCAACTTAGGGTACTTTTATTTTAGTAAGAGATTTAGGGTTCCTCGCAAAAAAATTAAATCCCATGAAATCCAATCGTAACAAATTCCACGCGGGCAAAGTCGCGGGGAACAGCTAGTGTACAAATATAATAATATAATAATTCAATTATTTTGGACAAGAAGTGTTCATAGTGGTTAGTAAATGTAACTTAGATCTCGTGTTAGTAACATTTGGTTGACGACACAAATACGAAAATACGGAACAGTGGAGAATCTTAAAGTTTTCAGACATACGGGAACACTTTTTTGTTATATAACATTTTTTTCATATTCTTACATTGTTATACGATTATGAGCAATGTTCAAAATTATCAAGTCTAAAATAAATTATTAAATTCGACTAGAAAGCCAGTTAATAAAAACTTGGTGTAACAGAGGCCTTGTCCAACACTAAACTATGTACGGCCTTATAAAGATGGAGAGGAAATACCTTCAAGCACATGGTCGGAAAGAAGTCAGTCAGCGCGCTGTACCCCAAGTAATAGGTGACTGTGCCGAAACCAAGCAGGTACTTCAGGGCGTTTTGAACTGAAAAACGAAATTTTTCTTGTTAAAATTCTCTTTTTATAGGTTTTTAATAAACCGTTATGACTGTACACTCGTGGCAGGTTGCGGTCATAATTTATTGCATATCATCATCATCGTCAACAGCAACCACAGCCCGTAAGAAAGATGGGCCTCTTCTTTTATTGCAGTTTTTTATGGATACCTAACACTTTTTTTATTTAAAAAACGTTACCCCCACGCTAGGATTTTCTCCTGTGTCGTGGAAGCAGTTTACAAATATAAATTGCACAAGGACAACCATCCAGACCCGGAACAATTATTTGTAGGCCATACAAATACTTGTTCCGTGCGGGATTCGAACCCGCGGCCCCCAGCGCAACAACCGATTGCCAAGCCACTGCGCCACGGAGCCGTCTACAACACTACTAGTACTGTAATGAAAATGAAAATGTTTATTTGTCTCAAAACAGTTACATGAACTATAAATGAGACATCCCCAGTAAGTAATTGATAATACTTGTGTTGGGGCTATCTCGCTCTTTCCCTTAATTATTAACAATATTGAGACTATTATACAAAAGGTAAGTAAAAATTAATTTATGAAGAAAAAATAACAGTAAGTGACTTATAAACTAATTATTAGCTATTACTCTATAGCCTTGTATAAAAGTCAACCTGCCAAAGTTACTAATGAAAACTGATTTGATATTCTTTCACAGAATTTGACTCTAGTAGGGAATGTACTTACCTGTACCTTTATGTCTAAAGTGAACAGTATTTTAATATACTTTAGGATACATTTTGAAAAGTGCGTGCTGTAATTATGTACCCCAATTGCAATGTTAGACTATCAACCGATCTCCCTAATAAGCCTCGCAGCAGGTTTCCTTTGGTTGAGGGTATATCTAGCCTTTAGGCGAGGCATTTCGATATATAATCAATTAAGGCTATATAATAACAGTACCGAAAATGATTAATAACATGAACTAATTACTAAAAATTTAAATGACCGTGTAGTGGCGGTGTAAGAATATCCACTACCCCATATCGTCCCGTGGGTGACGTAAGAGGCCACAGAGAGAAACTGAAACAGGGGATGGGGAACAGCATATTCCTGATAACAACTAAAAATAATTAAAAACTGCAGTTGCCAACCCGCCTGCCAAGCGTGGCAACTATGGCATATATCATAATGAGACAGTCTAAGGGGACGCCTATGTACGGCGGTGGTCTTTGGTGGTCTGTGATGGATGGGATGGGATGGATACGCCTGATATTCAAAGCGCATTTTATGGGACGGCCTATATTTAGCAGTGGACTTTTGATAGGTTTTGCGAGGATGTTAACAGTAAGTTTAATTTAAATAAAAATAAACATTATGTATTTTTTATATATAATTAGCTGGGACTATCTTGAGAACTAAATTTTATATAATTTATGTATGACAATATCAATACGTGAATTAAAGATTTTTTTTAAACTGAAGTACCTAGAAAACGAGCTTATATTATACGTGGTAGTCATGCTGCAGCTATATTATGGTTGTAGCACGAATGGGTCGGCTCGACCGGGGAAGGACCACGCTCTCACAGAATACCAGCGTAAAATGGCAGCTTAACACTGCTGTGTTTCGTATGGGGAGTGTGGAGAACCGGAGACCCTTTTTACTAGATACGAAGCATTCCATCTTAGTCCTTGAGGTGTGACAACGCATCTGCATTTTGATTTGTTAATTGAGGAAAGATGTAGATGTAAGAGGCCACTGCAGCCCATGGACGCCCGCAATTAACTTCAAATAAAGGGCTACGGGGCATTTTTTGTCACTTCCGAGGACTAAGATGGAATGCATCACACCTTATAGCCTGTAATCACACCGGCTATCTTTACCTTTCAGACCGGGAGCCAGCAGTGCAAGAAGCGCTGCTAACTGATAGCACGAATAGGTGAGAGAGTGATACTTACCCAGACGGAGTCTTACACAGAAAACGTATCCTTCCACCTGTGCTGTGCATTTTGTAAGTAATAATCCTACTATCCTACTAATACTATAAACTAGCTATTCCTCGCGACTTCGCCCGCGTGGAGATTTTTGCGCGGAACCATAAAAACATATGTGGCAACAAACAGACAGACAGACAAAAATTTTAAACGTTGTATTTTTTTTTATAAGTCCTGTATATACTTTTATATGCATTTAGTAAAAAGCTATAATTTAGACATTACAAACAGACACTTCAATTTTTATTTATTTGTATAGATGTGAGTTTGTGAGGATGTATGGTTGTTTGTTACTCTTTCACGCAAAAACTACTCAAGGTATTTTAATGAAGCTTTACAATAATATAGCTCATACATACATACATTACTCACTTAAGCTATAATTCATTAAAATAATGTGTAAATTGGCCAAAATCTAACGATAAATGTTAAGTAAGTCTGAAAAAAATCTGTCATCTGCGAGCTATTTTGGCGTGAACACACATCACGCAAAAAGCTGTGAACCGATTTGGTTAGGACTTTTATTGGCAGATAGTTGATGTTATGAGGAGTAACTTAGGCTACTTTTATTTTAGGGTTCCGCGCAAAAATCTCCACGCGGGCGAAGTCGCGAGGAACAGCTAGTCTAATATATTACGTATAAAACCTACCCAAGAAGCCGGCAACAATGCCCATGGTGGTGGGGAGACTGGCAGCGCACACTCCGTCCCGTTTCAATGTTTTCTCGTCGATGTTTGACGCGACCACGAGTGGTGGAGCACACTGCAAAATATAGTTATTATATACTAATTAATAATGTGTGACCTTTCGGTGTAGTGGCGATGTAAGAATATCTACTACCCCATATCTATCATCCCGTAAGTGAAAAAAGGGGCGACAGAGGGAAACAATTCCAGAGATGGGCAGCAGCATCTTTCTGATCACAACGTAAAATTATAGAAATCTACGGTTGCCAACCCGCTTGTAAAACGAGGCAACTATGAGGCAATGTATGGGGAAAGCCTATATTCAACAGTGCACTTTTATACGCTGTGATCTGATGACTGAAAAGATTTTTTGAACCATAGCTAAGAAGCTAAGAACACTCTCGATCAAGTCACCTTTAAAACATAAGAAAAACTAAATCAAAGTCGGTTCATCCGTCCGTGAAAGTTAATACTATACTAAAATATATTAACTTTCAAAATATTAGTTTTACCTTGATAAACTTTATAATACAATGTAATGATTTCTTATATTTACGCGAACACTACACATTTTTAAATAAAACTAATTTTTACGGATTTTATCGCGTAAATTAACTTATTTTTATATTATATTATATTTTATATATACACAAAACAGCAAAAATTAGTTTTATTTAAAAATACAATGTAAGTCAATTAAAACACAAAAACACACTAGGTGGGTACCGATTATGGTCTCCGGTCTTCTTACGTAATGGATCAACTATTTAAAATGATATGTTAAATTGACCGTTTGAAGATAACGGTTATTTGTAATCTCTGTCTTAAAGATACACTAATATCTAGCGTTATTTTTAAGTACTCTGTGCAGCGTTCACCGTTAATGTTGGAAGTAGTATCTAACTCATGGTTTCTACGCGGGCGACACTGAAAGTTTTTAGAACTGGCCACTTGTAAACGATGTAATAAAAAAATAAGTTCAAATTTTGGAAAGGGAACTCTTTGTACATATTATTGTGTATGTATGTTATGTCTGAACTGTACAGAGAGCCCGTATAAAAACAGGTCGTGAGGCATTTCATCTCGGTTCTCAGATTTAACAACGCATCTGTAGTCTTCTTTGTTAGAAATTGTCTACAGACACCAGTATATATAAATTGCAGTACCTACTTACCATTGGGTAGCTTTTAAGTTCGTTGGTCACATGAGTTTTATAAAAAAAACACATGTGGCAATTTCTAGAACTTCACTGAAATCTATACAAATAAATAAAATTGAAGTGTCTGTTTGTAATGTCAAAATAACAGCTTTTTACTAAATGCATATGAAAGTGTATACGTTACTTATAACAAAAACACAATTATTAAAATTTTTGTCTGTCTGTTTCGGCTAATCTCCGAAACGACTAGACCGATTTTGATGGGACTTTTACTGACAGATAGCTGATGTTATAAGGAGTAACTTAGGATACTTTTATTTTAGAAAAAGAATTGAGATTCTGCGCAAAAAATAAAAACCCTAAATTACACGCGGGCGAAGTCGCGGGGAACAGCTAGTACATAATATTTTATCCCATCCCATCCCATCTTTGGGCTGGAGCTCTCCAGTGCCAGCTCCTTCTACTTGACCTCATCCAGTGCAGAGCGGCTCGAATCGTCGACGACGGAGTCCTTTCCGATCGGCTCGATTCACTGGCGCTGCCAAGAGATGTTGCATCTGCATATTTGCTTTGCTTTGCGTATTTTATCGCATCGATCACGAGGAGTGCTTTGAGGAATTGTTCGGACTAACCGCTCAATTTCACCATTGCACATCGCAACAAAACTAGCGTTACCATCCATACCATCTGGATTATTAGGTCCGTGGACGTTCACTTCTGCTGTCAGCGCCAAAATGGCGAAAATCAAATCGCCTCGTTATGTCCCGGTGTATAGCCAGTCCATATATAGAGGTCAGTGAGGCTGTCCCTTACAATTATTAAAAAAAATCTGCCGAATAAGTCTCCGCTTTTCCTCGATCTTTTTTTTTCGAATTTCTCAAAAGTTTTTAGTTGTACAGTTTTTCACTGTTATATAAATTACCCAAGTCTGAAACACCGTAATTTATCAAATAAACTAACAGAAACCAGAAAAAATATATCAATGTTAATTTTAGTGAAGATGGTCCGTTGTTTTTCATTCGTCTAATTATTGCTTAAAAATTTTCCAGCATCAAGTCCGTAACGTAATATTTTTAGTATGACTATCCACAAATATTTAAGTGATAAAAATTTTATTTGTTTTTTACTAAAAATAATTTGATTAAAAGAAAACAATTATTTTTTAATAATTTTTTATGGTACTTTTTCTAATATATGGTTATACCTTGACTCGATGTTATAGTACAATTGAACTTACAAGAATTTTACGTAACAGAAAGAATTTCTCTAAACTCTAAAATAGTGATGTAATTCTGTGACAAAAATCTTCGATTCTCTCATATTCAACGAAGCTTGACTATATAATATAATATAATATAATATATATAATATAATTTAAATATATATGTTTGATTTCTAGATTTTGAATTTATGGGGGAACAGCGCGTACGCAGTTCCCACTACCAAAAATTACGCGTCCGAGTTATCCACATTAGGGATAATCGCAGGGGTCAACCTAACCGCAGTGCAATGGAAAGGCCTCGCCCTGGGGGAACCGCCTTCTTGATCACGGTATCCCCTACGCCAGGTAAGTATGATTAAGTGAGATCGGCGGGCTGTACTGATTCATTTACAGAAAATCTCAACACCGCGGGTTATAATTTTCACAGCACCATCTATCGGCGTAAAGTGCCATCTATCAGATTATAGATGTTAAAACACACATAATACACAATGTGTTTTTTGTATTTCGTAATAGATGGCACTATTTATAAAATGACACCTACCAATAATTTGGTATAATACATTTTTATTCAGGCATATTATATATATTTATGTAATATTTTTAATGTATATATAATATATATATTTTTAAGTTTTATTATATTCTGTACTGTGAGACTGTGACATAGTGCGCAATGAGGCCTAATAATACTGCGCTCACCAGTGGTCGCTAGTTGACACTAAGGTGAAGTTTTTTGTTTTTTTTTTTTTTTTTTTTTTTATAGAATAGGGGGCAAACGAGCATGCGGCTCACCTGATGGTAAGTGACTACCGCCGCCCATGAACAACCGCAACACCAGGGGGATTGCAGATGCGTTGCCGGCCTTTTAGAAAGGTGTAAGCTCTTTTCTTGAAGGTTCCTAAGTCGTATCGGTTCGGAAAATTCGCTGGTGTTAATTGATTCCACAAAGAAGTTGTGCGAGGGAGAAAACTTCTTCTAAATCGCACAGTGGTGGACCGCCAATCATCCAGATGGTACGGATGGTAACGCGAGTTTTGTCGCGACGTGCGATGGTGAAATTGAGCGGCTGGAATTAGTCCGAACAATTCCTCAGAGCACTCCCCGTGATAGATGCGATAAAATACGCAAAGAGATGCAACATCTCTACGCAGTGCCAGTGTATCGAGCCGATCGGAAAGAACTCGGTCGTCGACGATTCGAATCGCTCTGCGCTGGATGCGGTCAAGTGGAAGGAGCTGGCACTGGGGTGCCCCGGCCCAGAGATGAGAACAGTATTCCATGTGGGGCCGAACTTGAGCTTTGTAAAGTTGCAAGCGATGTGCCGGCATGAAATACTGTCTCGCTCTGCTGAGCACGCCAAGCTTTTTAGAGGCCAATTTGGCCTTCCCTTCCAAGTGACCACGAAACTGCACGCTATTCGATATGTCGACGCCAAGGATTCCGATACTGGCTGAGGCAGCAAGGGGAGTGCCTTGAAACTGAGGAGATACGACAAAGGGGTTCTTTTTAGCGGTAAACGCGCAAACTTGTGTCTTCTGGGGATTGAACTGGACTAGATTTAGTCGGCCCCAATCCGAGACTTTGTTAAGCAAAGACTCGACTTCAGACACAAGTTTGTCCCGGTACTCGGCGACGTTTTCCCGAGAAATATTGGCACGGCCGGTATATAAGGCATCCCCAGTGCTGTCGTCTGCATAGCAATGAATGCTACCAGTTAGCAACATATCATTGATATGCAGGAGGAACAGCGTTGGTGATAGCACGCAGCCTTGTGGAACACCAGCGTTGATAGGCTTGTAATCAGAGCATGCACCGTCTACTACGACCTTGATGCTCCGATCAGCAAGGAAACTGGTGATCCACTTGCACAATTTCTCGGGAAGCCCATAGGAAGGAAGCTTCGAAAGAAGCGCCTTGTGCCAGACCCGATCGAAGGCCTTCGCTATGTCCAAACTAACGGCCAATGCCTCCCCCTTGGACTCTACTGCCTCCGCCCATCTATGAGTTAAGTAAACTAGAAGATCACCTGCTGATCGACCCCGACGAAAACCGTACTGACGGTCACTGATCAGCTGGTGATCCTCAAGGTACCTCATGAGCTGGCAGTTTATTATGGATTCCATTATTTTGGAGAACAAGGAGGTGATGGCGATAGGCCTGTAGTTGGACGGGTCTGAGCGGTCGCCTTTTTTAGGGATCGGGTGGACCAAAGCTGTCTTCCATGAATTCGGGACTACGCCTTGGGAGTAGGAGTACCGGAAAAGACGCGTTAAAACCGGTGCCAACTCTGGAGCACACGTCTTCAGCACAATGGGAGGGACTCCATCGGGCCCACTCGACTTACTGACGTCCAGGGAGAAGAGTGCTTTGCGAACCGAGCGCTGTGTAAATCGCACATCCGGCATGGAGCACTCACATCGCGGGATGGTCGGCGGTGTGTTCCCCCCGTCATCTAGAGTCGAGTTAGACGCAAAAAGAGAGCACAACAGATCGGCTTTCTCTTTTGCGGCATGGGCCAGTGAGTCGTCCTCTCTGTGCAGAGATGGGAGGGATGGCTGACAGAAGTTCCCTTGGACAGCCTTGGCGAGAGACCAGAATGCACGGGTTCCCGAAGGAAGGCGAACTAGCTTCTCGCCAATTCTGCCGATGTGCTCAGACCTTGCCTTGGCAATGACGCTTTTGAAGGACCTGGAGGCGGAATTATACTTCTTTTTAAGTGCGCTGGTGTTTAAATCCCGAGACGTTGATGCGTCAGCCCAGGCCCGGTAGCACTCCTGCTTATAGCGTGATGCTATTTTACAGGAGCGATCAAACCATGGCTGGGATCTGCCTCCAATGGGCACCACAGAGGATGGAATAAAAAGTTCCATACCCTGAAGCACCACATCAGCAACAGAATCGGCAACAACGCTGGGATCTTCCGGCGAGAAGCAAACCCGCCCCCAAGGGTAGGATGCAAAAAAAGACCGCATCCCATCCCAATCAGCTGACCTATAGTGCCAAACACGGCGGCAAGCTGTAGATCGCAACTGCGATTGGAGCGTGAGTGGCACCGTGCTCCGGATCAGACAATGGTCCGAAGAGCCCAGAGGGGCATCGACGGAGACCTGATATCCGTCCGGATGAGAGGTCAGCAGAAGGTCCAACAGGGAAGGTACATGGTCTTCCACATCTGGGATCCGCGTAGGCGAAGTAACCAGTTGTGTTAGACCATATGCCAAAGCAAAGTCGTAGACAGATCTACCCGCATGATCGGTTAAACGAGAACCAAGCCATTCAGCGTGGTGGGCGTTGAAATCACCGAGTATCACGATCTCTGCGGATGGGACCTGTTGTAGCACGGAGTCTGCAGCCATTTGGACGTGGTCGATGAGTCGGTCTGTGTCGGCATTACCGCTATGGGACCTATAGAGGCACCCGTAGACGCGGGGATGGTCGTCGCTGTCTACGCGCAGCCATAGGATGGACAGGTCCGTACCTTCAAGGCTGCCGAGGCGTCGAAAACAGATGTCCTCTCTGACGTATACGCAAACTCCAGCCCGGGGCACAAAGGAGTGTTCCAATTTGTATCCCGGGTAGGAGAGATATGAAGTATCAGCCGGAGAGGACACCTGAGTCTCGGTTAAAAAGAGCAAGGCCGGCTTCGCCGTCTCTAGATGGTAATGGACAGCGTTAAGGTTGGAATGAATTCCCCTGATGTTGCAAAAATTCACGGATAGCGTGACAGGGGTCGCCTTGGTTGTATTGCTCCGCTTGCCCCGAGCAGCATTAGTCATGAGCGGAATTTTGCCCCCCCCAGAATACGCGGGGCAGCCTGAGCACCCACGCTCAAGAGTGAAGTAGTTTGTTCGTGGATGCTCAGCGAGGGATTCTCCAGGGGTGCTGGTACCCTCCTGGGGTAGTCTTGTATTTAATTCCACTACCATGTTGATGGGGGGGGGGGGGGGGAATTGGGCCTCCGGCCACCTGCACTCACCAAACGCAACGCAGAGGTAAACCTCTACTTCACGCTGGTATTCTGTGAGGTCGTGGTACCACCCCGGTTCGAGCTGGCCCATCCGTGCGACAGCAAAAGCTACCGCTTGGCTCTACCACTGTTAAAACTGTTACACAATATCATTTAATTGAGAAGTTTTAAATAAAAGTTTATCAGTTTCTAGATATCAATACGCAAAAAAAGTTTGGTCTTTAATTTTTTTCACATTTTGAACACTTAAAAAATCTTACATGTCTGTGGTTTTATTTATTTATTTTAATCTAATTAATATAAAATTAGCACAGAAAGAAACATTTACATTTCTCGAACAAATTAACTTCACCGCTATGAAATCTGTTAAAATGAAAATGAAAATATTACCTCATTTTTAAGTGGCGCCGCCCTAGTGGCAAGAAAAGTCGTAGATGCCAAAGTCATTTGCATGCACGACACATTTAATTGAAAATATATGAAATTTAGAATGATGCCGAATTTTACATTATAATAGATAAATTAAAATTTTACATTATACATATTATGTAATAGTGTCTACAAGAAATAAAATTATTTTTGATTTTCAACAAATCAAAACATGTTTTTATTTGTTTCTGCCTTGTGGTAGCGGCGTCGGTCGACGTGTTTGAGCTCCACAGTCTTCCATATAAGAAAAGTGCTGGTACGATGTCACGTCACGATTCTCTGAACGATGTTATCGGAAGGGCTTTTGTCTCTATAAATATTACCTCGATTTTTGAGCCCTGTAGAATCTTTAGACTATGGCAGGAGACCCAACTATATAACTTTGATCAAAGTCCTAGAATGGATGATACGTGCGTAGACATTTTGGCAACTTCTCATCTCAGTGGTGTCTCATTTAGAGCCATCAGAACCATGACTTTTGGAAGGCATCAGAGTTGGCTGAACTAAGTAAGTGGCGCAAATATCGGTTTCTGTGAGATGACTACATAATCTGCGCCATTTGCGATCATTTACCATTTGATCCGTGGGGTCTACGTACGGTAACGTTCGCCTAAAGACTAAACTAACTGTTTCCGCGACTTGTCGCCGCTGCTAGTGATAATAGAGCTGGTTCTTTTCTCGCTCAAAGCCTAAGAAAAGCCAGTGTTACCTGGCACTATTAAGATTTTAGTGTTAGTTTTTTTTTTATTATGATATTAAATATTGTACATTTTTATGTTGTGTAAATAAATGATTCAAGTATCTTTTCCGTGCTTGATTTTACTTGTACAATATAATATCTACCTTGTACTTACTACCGTCGAGTATTATATATTCCTTAGTTATAGAGTATGCATATCGCACAGATCGCCTACTACGCACGTACAATTTAACATATTCACCAAATTAGAGACAGCACGAGATTTAACGGCATATTAAAATTGAGCAGGGTTTGCGTACTTGTGCTGTATGTATCAAATAGGGATAAAAAATAGTGCACAATTATCAATAAATGCAGTCGAATGGTATGGTATCTTGTGGTGTACTTCTCGTGTACTATTATATACCTTTTAGTATACATTAGATTTTATAGGATATTGTGACAAACGAGCATACAGTTCACCTGATGGTAAGTGGTTGCTGTGACCCATAGACATCTACATTTATCCTCAATAAAGAATCAAAATGAGAAGAATGGGAAGCGTATCCTAATGGCAGGGCACAGACCGCAAACTCGAAAGGTCCTGGGTTCAAATCCACCATTCGACTACTGTCGTGAACCACTTCTAAGACAAGCATTTTAAGCTTACCAGAAGTGATTTAAGGCAATATTAGTAATGTTTAAATAGCACTACTAGTATTTAATAAAAATGCAGATGCGTCGTCACCCGTGAGGACTAAGATAGAATGCCTCTTTTCGAGTAAAATGGGTCTCCGGTTCTCTACTCACCATACGAAACACAGCAGTGTCAAGTGGTATTCTGTGAGAACGTGGCCCTACCCCGGTCGAGCCGACCCATTCGTGCTACAACTATACTACTAATATAGCTGCAGCATGGCTCTACCAGGTATAGGAGGTATAGGATGTATCTGCAGAAGTCGGTGCCAGGACATAGTGTATAGAAGAATTAAGGCCTCGACTTCCGAAGCTATTATGTGGAAATTATTTTCTTCTTTGTTCCTCTTCGATGGCGGCTTGTATTTTATATGAAAAGTTTAATTTTTGACCGTTTTGAGTGGATTAAGGTATATCACAAGGTCAAGGTCCAGAATAACATCTAAATTGTTACATTAGAAACTTGATCCTCTATTTATCCACCTTTAGGGGAGGAATTATGTCTCTAAAGTTATGGGACCACCCCTTAAGTATAATTTATATAAAGCCACATGTATATTTATCATATGAGTCTGATTTTAAATAAATTAAAAAAATCTAAAATTTGCTATGCGGAGCGTATACATACAACTTGATTTGGACTGCCTTATTCTACTTCTATGTGAATTTTGATGTGAATGTGAATTTATTATACACAATTTTTATACTGTAGTGAATCATATCATCAATTTTAATATATAATTAAAAACAACTAACCGCAAAGCAAGCAGTCTCTCCAGGCGCAATGAACTGTATGTGACCAGAGACGGCATTCTCACTGACTCCCGACTCGAACCAGTTCTGTGAGAGTTCATTGCAAGCTGTGTTGATTGCCATGCGAGCCTCGAAGTTGTCCACACAGCTCAGCACCAGGTTCACTGGCCCACCAGTCAGGCTTCCAGTGCTGAAATATTATAAACATACACAATAACTTAATGATTCATAATTACTAGCTAGTGGGACTCTTCTACCGACTTCAAAAAGGAGCCGGTACTCAATTCGACTGTATGTTTTTTTTATGTGTGTTACCTCATAACTTTTTACTGGGTGAACCAATTTCGATGATTCTTTTTTTATTTCAAAGCTGGTGCTTCACATGTGGTCCCATATAAATTTGATCAAGGTGTGACCAATAGTTTTTGAGTTATTCTTAATAATTTATATTGAAGTCGGTTGTACAAAATTTTTAATTTTAAATTATTGTCTAGAAGTCTGTATGGGTAAGTACCATCTTCTGACCTATTTCTACCGTTAAATAGTAATGCTTGCACCGCTGTGTTCGGGTCTAATATAGATTGAGTATAAGGTATAGAGAACCAGAATAATTACAGGCTATGTGTCATTCCATCGTAATCCTCAGAGATGACAATGCACCTGTATTGTTTTTAACATGCTTTTATTAGCTTGGTATGTATCTACGTGGGAGAGCCATGCTGGAGTTATATTAGTAGAATGTGTTACCTCATAACTTTTTTCTGGGTGAACAGATTTCAATGATTCTCTTTTTTTTATTTGAATGCTGGTGCTTCAGATGTGGTCCCATATAAATTGATTGATCAAGATCTGACCAATAGTTTTTGAGTTATTCTTAATAATTTACAGCACAGCACGTTTCGAATTAAACTATGACAAACACTGTAGCATTTCAACTATAGAGAATATTAGAAATAATTTGCACACCACCATGTCAGGCTGTGCTCTTGCGTAATTGTTTAAAAATGTAAGCAATCTAAGCTAAACCGATATTTACCTAATAGTGTCACAAAACTTCTGAAAGTTATCCACAGTGGTGATGTTGTAATTGTGGGCGTCTATAGTCACATCAGGGTTGATGGCTTGCAGAGTGGCAGCGGCCGCATCCACCTTGCTAAGTCCAGCCTGATGAGGTTGGAAGAACAGACGATTCATGTTTGCCAGCTCCACTTTATCATAGTCGAATAGTATCAACTGAAAAGGAACAATTGCTCAATTATTATTGGTTTTCTTTGTCTTACTTATAAATTATATAACAATACAATATATTGTTTACAATTTAAGTGAACAATATAATAAAAAACAGCAAATTATTGCTGTTTTTAATCGAAAAAGAGGAGGCTTCAAAAAAGAAGTAGGGATCAATTTGACCGTATATATTACTACATTTCTCTGTTCGGGTCGAATATAGATCGAGAATATATATATTCATTTACAAGGTAGAATAAGGTACGTTGGGGTAAGATCGGTGATGGGGCAAGACCGTAGGATTCAAATTCCCGGCGAATTATGCTATATTTTGAAAAGCTAACAATATGCTACACGACGCCATTTCATCCTGCCCCGACCCTCAGTTCGCGCCAGTCACTCCGGCAAGTGGGACCTGTGCTGCGTGGCATTTTATAAAACAATGTTATTTTTGTATTATTTTTGTCCATCCGATCTTTCCCTATCACTTTTATTTACGATTTTTAGCGAGAATACGGCTTCTTTTGTTATTATTTTGTTTGGATATTAATTTTTATGAAGTTATAGCTAAATAAAGCTGGTCCATGCAGGGCTAAGATCGCTGTAGGCCGAGATCCGATGTTTCCCCTCGTGAGTGAAGATCGGATGAATATTATCCGATCTTTGCCTGTTACAAATATGGCAGTGGTTGTTAAACTTTCATTGGTCGTGTATATTTTTTCGTTGATTACTCAAGTGACTATGGGACTCAGTCTCGTTAGCAAGTCTGTATATTTAAAAGTAATAAAATAATACGATGGTTTTATTACTTTTAAGTACACATTAAAATACATTTTTTTTATAGGATAAGGGTGACAAAGGAGCACACAGTCCACCTGATGTTAGGTGTTTGCTGCGGCCCATAGACATCTATATCTATCCTCTATTACAAATCAAAATGTAATTTATAATAATTATTTAAAAAATAATTTATAATAATAAATGCCGCTTTGTTAAAATATTTATATCTTCCTTGACTCCTGCATTATCCCAGGGCATTTCGCCAGTCCTTACTGTTATTTTTTTTCCCATATAAAATCAAATGCATCCGATCTTTCTCTTTTATTGAGTAATTCCATCTTGTCATAACAAAGTTTGAGAAACATAAAATTACAATTTCTTTATATCAGGGATAAGATCGGATGGCAAGAAACAAAAAAAGAGAAAATCGTTTGGAACATTTATGTTTCTAGTAATTTATAGATCATATTGAAATATGTTTTTGAGCGTTAAAGATAGGACAAATCTCTTTTATAAACTTTTTTCTCTAATCAGTAGAAGTGGTTTTAAATTTAAGTCCGATCTTACCCCTTAATGGCCAATTTTTCATTATGCATATAAAAAAGTATGTCTAGTTTTCGCACACCTTTAAAGCAGAAACCGTTGAATTTACACAAGCAAAAGATTCTCAGAGCTAAACTACGTTTAACGATTAACGGTTTGCTCCATGTTCCATAAATCTGACGTATACGAATGTCGAGAAATTAAAGTTTTTGGCAGACTCTTCCAACTATTCGAAAATCCGTCCGGTATTACCCCAACGTACCTTACCTTACTACATATATCATACAAATGTACATATTAAAACAGAAGTACACAAATACGTAAATCTACTTCAATACATAAAATATATACACTCGCGAGCAAAAAAATCTACTCAGGACGCACGCTCGCGGTTAAAAGCCTGAGGCTTTCATTCTATTTCTGATTTTAACATCTCAAAGCGGCTAGTTTTAGCTTTAAAATGAAACGTCTTCGTAGGTTTTTTAGTTTTGGTAAGGAAAAAATATTTAATTAGAAGGAGTCATAAACAATGAAACAAGGTGATAATTAACAGTAAAGAAAATTCAAGCTTAATTTCGTCAAAATATAAATTTAATTGAAATTAACTTATCAATATTTAGTGTTGCTTCCAATATGCTTGTGCTTCCAATCTCTTCCTTTCACTTTCGAATAAGTTTCTTTACCCGATCTTGTTCGATGCTATCCCATTCTTCAATGAGCGCCGCTTTGAGGTCCGATTTCGTGGCTGGTGCAGGATTTCTAGCCCGAACTTTTCTTTTAAGTTCATCCCACAAATGCTTGATGGAATTTAAGTCGGGGCTACGCGCTGGCTGGTCCATAGCAGCAATTTCGACCTCCTGTAAATACTGCATGACGTAACCTGCAGTATGTGAATGGGTATTGTCATGCATTAATTTGAAGTTTTCGCCGATGAAACCGGCGTAGGGAACGAAGTGATCCCCAAAATTCTCGTCGATGTATCGGTTCGCCGTCAATCCTCCCACTCGACCGCCAGTTTCAATAAAAACCAACTCGGTTTTTGCATCCATTGAAATGCACGCCCACAGCATCCAGGAACCTCCTCCAAAAGCCACATTTTCTTTGATGCAGCACTGCGTGAATCTTTCTCCGGTTCTTCTGTAGACTCGTCCTCTTCTATCGTTACCATGCAAGCACACTCTGCTTTCGTCCGAGATGAAAACGGAGCTCCATTGTTCGTCAGTCCAATCAATGTGTCCTCTGGCAAATCATACGCGGGCTGCTCGGTGGGCTGGGGTTAATTTGGGGCCAATAGCTGGCCTTTTTGGCTCAAGGTTAGCTGCCTTAAGTCGTCTTCTGAATGTGCAGCCACTCACGGCCACTCCTCGCATTTCTCTGAGCTCTTGTTAGACTTGAACGCCAGTGAAGGCCTGATTTCTCAGCGATATGCTGACAATGAATCTGTCATCTCTCTCCCATGTGCACATTTTTCTTCCGGAACAGCGTCTTTGATTAAAGTTACCAGTCTCTTGGTAACGACGGTAAACTCTGGAAACAGCAAACTGGCTCATGTTTAGCGCATGTGCCACTTCACGCTGAATCTGGCCTTGTCGCAATAGGGTGACCGCTTGAGCAGCTATATCACTTGTTGTTTCAATTTTCAGGTAGAATTCGTGTCTGTTAATAACGGAGATGTGTATCGGTTGACGTGTGACGGCTATCTGATAAGGGTGGGTCAGGTAGATAACCTTTTATATGGGCCAGTAACCCTTCATTAGCACTATTGTAAACATGCGTAAAAAGGGTGGTCACAACATATTGTTGGGTTGTGTGAGCAAGAATATTAGAATATTTTATAATCATTTTGATGCTAATACTATCAGCTTTAACATTTTACTAAGAAAAAAATATTTTCGCGTTCCGTTTTTTTGCCAGTGACTTGCGACTGCAGGTGTGTTGTATATAATACATAATATTATAAATAAGAATAATATGTGACGATAGAATCATTCTTTAGGAAAAAGTGATAATTTACACTTGCAATTCTTTTCTAAAGTGTTGAGGAACTTTATTTTTAAGAAGAAACTTTATATATGCATGTATATTAAATATTTAATTTAGTATTTGATTTTAGACTAACTTCCCGATGAGCCTTGAGAGACTTGAAATTTTGAACATAGCTCAGAATCAGATGACAATGTAAGAAAACGAATACATGGTAAATTGTGGTATATTAAAAAGAAATCAATTATTTTCGATATTTTATATATACAAAAAACAATATAATATCATTATAGTCTATCACAGTAGCCTCATAAAAACTTCAATCATATCAGATTTAATGATAATTAAAATCAGTATTAATCGGCGGCGTAAGAAAATTTCCGTACCCCATTTCATCTCTCGGATTTCGTAAGAGGCGACAGAGAGTAATGAAACAGGAGATGGGCAACAGCAGTTTCTGATAACAATTCAAAATAATAAAAAACTGCGGTTGCGGTTGTAGCAATTATGACGAATATCCACACATATGAGGCAATTTATGGGAGGTGCCTATGTTCAGCAGTAGACTTTTGATATGACGAATGAATGTTAAATAAAAATAATGGATTATCAACTTTTCTGGCTCAAATTCATTCTGGAAGTATTCAACTGCAGAACTAAAGTTACAATGTATCATGACATTACAATAGAAGTATTATGGAAGTAGAGACTGCGCTCACACCAATGTAATTAGTGATGCTCCCTAGCTAAGTGGAGCAACGAGTTACGCAAAGCGGGTCTGCCAAATGCGTAAATGGAACCTATGGTTAAGGTGGGAGATATTGTTAGATATTAAAATAAGGTAAGGGTTTTTATGAAGTAAAGATATAGGTTGTTACTTTACTTTTGATGATTTTTAATATCATCCACCATTATTTAAAAAAAAACATGAAGAATGAAGAAAACATAATTATTTTCAAACAAGTACATAGTCAACCTGATGGTAAATGGATGCTGTGGCCCATAGACATTTACACATATTGTTGATTAAGAATCAAAATGCAGATGTGTTGTAACCCCTAAAGACTTCAATGGGATGCATGATTACCAGTAAAAAAGTCTCCGGTTTTTATCCACTCACTATAACAGTGTGAAAAAGCATTATTCTGCTGTTACACGCTGCTATTCTGTGACAGTGTGATCCTACCAAGGTTGTGCCGATGCTTTCATGCAGCAGCTACGTATAGCTAGCACAGCTGCAGCACGGTTCTACCAGTTTGTGAGTAAATAGATATATGATACCTTGCCAATTCCACAGCGCGTCAACATTTCAGCAGTGACACTGCCAACACCACCCACACCAACTACAGCCACAGACAGCTCACGTATCTTCTCATAGTTGTCCACAATGCCCATCCGTTTTAAAGCCATCAGACGACTGAAAGACAGAAAATGTACCTTGTTACAAAAAACGATTAAAATGAGATTTCAATCAGGCTTATGTAATGTAATTTAAATTAAGGTTGCATTGTCAACCCTCTGAACTAAAATGGAATACCTCACAGTTTGTAACTATACTAGCTCTAACTCTTATTAGGGAATACAATATTTGATACACTGTTGCTGAGTAATATATTATAAAAAAATAATGAAAATCAATTTGGTTTTACAAGGGGTTGCTCAACAACTAACTTGGGTACATTATATGAATTTTCAAGGCTTTCAACTGTGTTCACCATGAGATATTATTCAGGAAGCCACATCATTATGGTGTAAAAAACATAACACTCAAACTTATTACATCGTATTTAAATAAAAGAACATAAACAGTTGTGATTAATAGAGTAGTTCTTCTGGATCTGTAGTATCCATAGATGTCCCTCAGGGCTGAATTCTTGGCCCCCTGTGTTTTCTTAGTTTATATTAATGACTTACCTTACTTGGCAGGGAGTAACCATGATTTAGTTTTATTTGCTCATAATACTTCATTGATTTTCCGACTTAGAAGGCTATTATTAAAATATGACAAAGTGAATAATGCAATATCAAAATTAGTACACTGGTTTAATGTCAATAATTTGCTTTTAAACTGTAATAATACGAAATGTATTAAATTCACCACACATAATAGTTTAGTTTACGACGGGCTGTTTTCCGCAACTCCATGTCTATGCGCGTATTTTGTGTGTGGGCAGGAATAATGTGATTATTCAAGCCATGAGATCTCGCCGAAGAAGCTCAACAGTCCCTTGGTGTTGCATGCAACTTCGGGGAGTGATCCCGGCGTGCCGAGATGTTTAGCCCTGTACGCAGCGACCTCCGGACATTTCAGTAGCACGTGGACCGCCGTTTCTTCCTCCCCCATACATGCCCTGCACAGGGGACTATCTGTAACACCTATAGTAGATAAATGTTTGTTAAAGGTGCCGTGTCCTGTGATAGCACTTGTTACTATCCTGATCTGCGTCTTGTTCAGTTTCATTAGAACCTTGGTTAAACGGCTGTTTATTTCAGGCAGGACCTCCCTAGCTTGTCTACAGTCTTCTAGATTTTTCCAAAGCTGAGCACATTGATTAGTGAAGTGTCTACGTACCAGTGAACGAATGTTACCAAAGGGGATTGGTATGGCCAGAGCCAATCCTCTTCTGGCCAGTTCGTCTGCTGCATCGTAGCCTCTGGATCCACTGTGTCCCTTTATCCATTGCAGAGTCACATTGTTGTTTTTACATACCTCATTTAATCGTTGATGGCATTCATATATTAGTCCCGAGTTAACCACATTGCAACTCAGAGCTTGTAGTACCACCCTACTGTCGGTCAGAATTCTGATGGGGAAGTCATTAACCTTCGACCGAGGATCGACATCCCTATTGACGTCGACAATGACATTACAAAATGGCGCCAGTTTATTAGCAGATTAGACATAAACATTGCAAGAATAATTGATTTTCAATTATTCTTTTCTCAAAAATTACGCGTTTCCGTATATTGACACATTGTGTGTGTGCTTATAATAGTGTACTCTTTCTGTAAAAATACGTATCAACACCAAACTCCACTGACGTCAATGGAAAGCTAAGCCAAAAAAGGCCCTCTGGGTTTCTTGCTGGTTCTTCCCAGGACAGAGGTTTTTTTTTTTTTTAAATCAGTGGTAAAAGTAAAAAATTACATTCAATAAGAATTGTATGTAATCTATATTGAATTAAAATGATTCTATTCTATTCTATTGAGTTATTATGGAATACAACATTTGATATACTGTTGCTTACTGTACACAGCTAGAAGGCCCTACCACCTGAATATAAAATATAATACAACTATAAAGTGTATGTCTGTTTAATTTTTTGTACATGTGTGTTTAAGTTTTACAAGTTACATTACAAGACATTTTTAATCATAATAATTCTGTCAAGTTACCTACTTAAAGCCAGAAAAAATGGTAAATGTAATCAATATTAATATATAAGTAACAAAAAGCCTAAAATAAAATAAGATAATATTTAATTGTAATTTAAACTAATTGCAATCATAACAGTAAAGAAGTGAACATATTGTATCATTTTTAACATAAACTGCTCACATAATGTTAGAAATTCAAACTTATATAAATGAATTCACGGATAGCAGATGTTTTAAGAACGTTTGGGGTCGTATTTTATAGAAAAATAGCTCAAAATACCTGTAGGGATTGGAATCAACAACCTCCGCAGACATAACATCAATTTTCTGCCTAACGGGTGCCACATTTCCCTGTACCGCCGCTAACTTTGCCTCTAATTCTCGAACTTTCTTTTGCAATTCTTCAACAGTAGACATTTTCAGAAAAATTTGAAACTATTATACACGAATGTAAGAAAATTTGAGCTTTCAGAATTCGGAAGTTTCCAAGTATAATTTACTCTGTGTTGTGTTTCCCTTTTAAAAATGAAACGTCAACTTGACACACTGCCACGGATGAAGGACGTGTTTTATTATTGCCAGTGCAATTACAAAGCTATCCTTGGTTATAAAATGTATGCCAAGCTATTAAAGATAAAATAATATTTAAACAAGAGTGAGTACATACATATTATGGTATATTTTACTACTTAAAATAAATTTATATTAATTTACTGTTATGTAAAATGTATTACTATCACTACAGCTCATCACAAGTGCACACACACATAACAGACATTTGTATTTATTTACATTACAAGCTGAATACTTTGAATAAAATATAACTAACACTGTAACCATAGATTAATGATAGGTCATCGCGCGCTCTGACTAGATACCACCGGCGCTCTTGTAAAATGCAGCAACAAATACTACGCCGAAATCGGCGTACCCGAGCCAGTCGCGTTGCAGGCGATATGTGGTGTGGACATACCGAATATTTTATTAAATTATGATTATAATCCGAAGTAAAATACCAGTTTGCGTAGTGAAACTGTATAAAAATAATACTACAAGAAATAAGAAAGACACTGGGATCACATACTATCAGTAAGTATCATACAATTTCGAAATTTCAACATAAAATAACACGAGCCATAAATAAGTTACAAAATATGAATGACGCCATTCAGTGTTGTCGCATATACAAAAATAAAGTTCCCCGTGGCTGAGATTTTTATATGTGAATTTATTGTTACTATATTTTATAATATAATATATTTCACTTATTATAATATAACCTAATTCTATATTATTTAATCTTTATTTTTGTAGTATTGCTCAAATGACCTAATATTTATATGTTGTTTTATTAATTTTTATTTTTATTATTAAAACATTATTTCCGTTTATTAGGGTTCCGTGCCCAAAGAGTGACAACGGGACTTAAGTTTCCACTATCGTTCCGTTTGTCTGTCAGCAGGCTGTATTTTATGAACCGTAATACGTTGATACTTGAAATTTTCACAGAATGTGTATTGGCTATTATGGCTCTAACAACATATAATAAAAATAAAATTTTGGTTACACCATATAATATTTAATTATTTTTTTAAATAATTTGTGAATATTAGTCAGACATTTAAATATAAAAGGCCTTATCACTTATATGCCATTTATTCAGAAGAAAAACCTATACTTAATATACACAAATATATTGATACATTCGCTATTAATAAATTATTCATTTTTAAGTATTTCTGGTCTATATTCATAACTATGAACTTAACTACTAAGCCATAGCATAAAATAATTTTTCCCGTTAATCGGGTAATAGTTAAGCTGCTGGCATATACAATTTTTCGCGCACACTATTCTTGCAATTGCCTTATACACACTAGCATATTGAGTTGCCGTATTCTCGGAGCTGTTTCTTTCAAGTAGCGCGGTATCTAGTCAGAGCGCGCGATGACCTATCATTAATCTATGACTGTAACATTACAACTTCTGAAAATAGAACTAATTTTTACACTCGCATTTGCTAAGGATATTTGAGATATTTGAGATAAGGATACTTGATATTCTTATAATCCATTTTAATTATTATTCAAAAACTATAGAAGACTTTTACAGGCTCTATAATTATAAGATACTCCGAAAATATTGGGGGAAGATATGAATAGCATTTTTTCTACGCCACTGACTATGGAAAATGACTTCATATGGCTTCATAATCATATTTAAATGACTCCTGATATTTTTTAGGTTTAACATATTATCTCTCAATTTAATGACTTTTGAGCATAGAAAATTCAATCGAGTTGACAACAAAATTCAACGCTTGTCTTGACAAAAATACCTCCAAATCATCCGAAGACTCCGCAACGTGCGTTACATCATCGACGTAAAGTTTTATCAAAGTAATTATATTATTTATTAAATATCATCAAAAATTACTTTTACTTGATATTTGCAAAAGAAAAACCTGTTTGTTTTTTTATAGCTAACTCCTATTTTTGAGGGAGATACTAAGGTCATGTTCCGATATACACTGCGAGCACTGCTCAGTGATCTCACTGGTGAAAACTTCATTCCGTTATGGACTGCCAGTATACTGCCGCAGTACCTTAGGTAAATATATGACGTCATAAATTGTTAAATTATAATAAAATTGTTATTCTAATCAACTCGGACATTATGTTTTAAAAGCAAGAACATTCAAACATTTTATTCTTGTTGAACAGAAAACGTGTACATGATAGATATTTTTATTTGAAAAGAGTGTCACAAAATGGGGATGATAATATACTGGACTGTGTTCAATTAGGGAACATGAATAAAATAGGCGACTCACACGATAGGCAAATTGTATATTTAAAAGGAATGAAAAATACAAAATATTTGGTGGCGATCGGGTCGCGAGCTATCGGCGAGTGCCGGTCTTAGGCGCGGTGGTGAGAAACCCCCCGCACTTCACATACTCCCCGCAAACACCGTCGGTGCTGTCGTAACGGCGCCGACATACTCCCGGCGCTGGAAAGCTTAACAGCTTTCAAGATCTTCCAACTCATCGGGCTTCGGTAGTAGGACGATTCTGTTTAGGGCGCGCCGCACAATTCCTCTTGCAGTGTCTATATCTGCGACGCGTGTCAATCCGTCAGATCCCGGGAAGAGTTTTCTTACACGTCCGAGACGCCAATAGAGCGTTTTCCTCTTTCAAGAGGACTAGGTCGTCAATTTGTAGGCTCTCTTTGGACTTCGTGCGCCACTTCGTCCTCAACTGCAGTTCCGCAATGTACTCGTGGCTCCAGCGTCGCCAAAAGTGTTGCTTAAACTGCTCGATGCGCTGGAATCTGTCGAGACGATTGGCATTACCGGATTGTAGACACGGAGATGGCAGCGAGCTTAGTGGTCTACCAATTAAAAAGTGGCCCGGAGTTAAGGGATAATAGTCCGTGGGAGAGGAACTTAATGGACATAGGGGGCGGCTATTTAGGATACATTCTATTTGTGTGAACAAAGATGACAATTCCTCATAGGTTAGGTGCGTAGTCCCTAATATCCTAGCCAGGTGGAATTTGGCTGACTTTACACCGGCCTCCATCAAACCATTGAAGTGAGGAGCGTATGCAGGCGAAAAACAAAATTCAACGCCTTCGTTAGCGGCAAAATTAGCGATAGTTTTGGCATTAACTTCAAAAAACTCTTTAAGTTCCCTTGAAGCAGCTACAAAGTTTCCACCATTGTCGCAGAATATCTGCTTTGGTAGCCCTCTCCGTGAAACAAAGCGTCTCAAAGTTAATATAAAAGCATCCTTGGACAGCTCACTAACAGCCTCCAAATGGATGCACTTATACCTAAAACATATGAAAATACACAAATAACATTTTGTAATTTTACAACCACGACCTTTGCGATCCGTGACCATAAATGGCCCAGCGAAATCAGTCCCTACTGTAATAAAAGGAAAGTCGGGCATTAGTCTTTGAGCAGGTAGGTTGCCCATTGTGTTTTTCATAGACTGACCCTTAAAACGCCTACATACGGTGCAATTATGCACAGTACGTCTAGCCAGACTTCTTCCACTAATGGGCCAAAAACGCGTTCTAAATGTAGAAGCCGTACGTGTTCTTGTCGGAATAAAAGTTGAGTAAAATGGTGTTTAGAGCTTAACAACATGGGATGCTTCATATCGAAACTTTATTCAGAAGCCTGAATTCGACCACCTACTCTTATCACTCCTTCATGTAAATGGATTAAGTGCCGAAATGTGCGACTTAGGACTTAGGGAATTTCCTTTTAATAATAAGTCGTATTCTTTAGGGAATGCCTCTAATTGGGAAATATACACTAATGAATTAAGAGTTTTATTGAGCTCGGCGGTAGTTAAGGAGCCTGTAATTTTAGTTTTAGAATTTTTGCAGTTATTAATAAATCTATGTAAATAGGCTAAAATGTGTTGTAATTGTTTTAATTTAGAATATTTGTTAAAGTTAATAATTGATTGATAATTATCACAAATAGCAACTGGATGTGCTTTAACTTCCGGCAAATTCTTCATCTCAATAATAGTCTGCGACTGCATAGAAGGCCACTCGGACTCTGGCAACGATAAATACTTAGGTCCATACCACCACATATCACATGCAGCGATCTGTTGTGGGTTCACGCCACGGGATAGCAGGTCAGCTGGGTTGTGTTCTGTAGGAACGTGGTGCCATGAATTTGCGTCAGTCAGCTCTCTAATGGCGGCGACTCTGTTGGCAACGAATGCTTTCAAGTTAGAAGAACCGCAGCGCAACCAACTAAGAACTACGCTCGAGTCAGTCCAATAGACATGACGCGATATTTTACGTCGCAAGGCTTTGGTCACAGATGAGCTCATTTCAGCTGCCAGAAGAGCACCTGAAAGCTCCAAACGAGGAATTGTAATAGGGCTGGATGCTAGGGCAACGCGAGATTTCGCACATAAAAGTTGGACATGTATTTGTCCTTCTTTATTTGTAGAGCGAAGGTACAAGCATGCACCATAGGCGCGTTGCGATGCATCGCAAAAACAGTGGATTTCAGCAGAGACTGGATATTCTATTGATACCCATCTAGGTATATTTAGTGAAAAAAGGTATTTAAGTCCATCAACAAAAGGTCTCCAGACATCGACAATATCCTTTGGAGCGGGCTCATCCCAGTCCAATTTGAGAGACCATAAAGTCTGAATTAAAATTTTGGGAACGATAGTGGACAAGGATAGGAGGCCCAAGAGATCGAAGATCTTGAAAGTTGAAGAAAGTATAGTGCGCTTGGTGACGACGTCAGACTGATCCACTGTAATGGGAAAATTAATGCTGTCGGTCGAAGGACTCCAATCTAGGCCCAGCGTATTTGTAGACTGACTCAATGTCAGGTTGCCGGATGACTGGACAACGTCTGAAGGCAGT